CCCGTTGGATACTTATTTGTTGACACCCTGTATAAGAACGAATGACACCCTATGATGGTGTTAAAAATATCTCAAGGAAAACCCAGAGGTGTTTGCTGGTGTGAACTGTTGTTATTTCTTTTTCACTTTGTACACGATCAAAATCATCAATTTTCAATTCAAATTCGAATTTGTTTGGTGACGCCGCTGATGCATGCGAGCACTATTATTAGATTGTGTATCATGACTTGAAAGATGAATGTTGCACAGGAACTGTCATTAACGGTCAGGCTATCACTATAATATATATTTCCATCAGAAATAATATGAATCTTTATGGAAAATACACTCAGTTCTAAAAAAAGTGACGCACTTGATATTTGACCTATCTTCTTGAAAAAAAAAAAACAAAAAATAGTAGGCCGATTTTTATTTTTTTTTCATTTGTTGGTAGGTAATGTATTTGTCTTTGAAAAAAGAATAAAGAGGTGAAAATTTTTTCAAAGCCTCCTTGATGGTGGTGGAATAACTCGAACCATGATTTATTCTCAATTTTTGACTCACCCTGTGTGTTAATTGAGTAATGGCATAGAAAGTGCTTACACCCTATACGAAAGAGGCTTCTTTTGCGAGCATTTTGATTTTTTATTCATTGATTTATCTCTAACATTTTCCGAATTACAGCTTTTTTGCTGAATCCTTGCTGATTACCAACTTTCTAATGAAATAAACTGATACCAATAATTTTAAAATACATTTTCATCAAACACAAAATTATGAATTGGGATGACTGCTTAATACCTTGTATTGCCTCTTCTGACAACTCTAAGAACTTCTAATCTACGAGGCATACTGTAAATTAAGTTGCTTATCGTTTCCATTGGTATACGATCCCATTCTTCCACTAATGCATCTGCCATTTCTGCGAGACTTTCCGGAAACCTCTCGCGAGAACGTACCCTTCTCCCTAATTCATCCCACAAATGTTCTATAGGATTCATATCGGTGCTTCTCGCAGGACACTGTAATGTGGTAATACCAGTAGCTTCTAAGAAGTTTCGCACTATTGCTGCGGTGTGTGGTCGGGCATTATCCTGCATCAATATAAAATTATTGCCCACTAACTCTGCATAAGGTAAGACATACTGCTCTGAAATGTCAATGTAAATTTGGGCATTCATCGACTGCCTCACCGAAAAAATATGAAGGGGTGTCTTTCCATTCATTGAAATACCTTCCCACACCATAACGGATCCACTATCAAAACTTTCGCATTCTGTTATTGAATTTTGATCAAACCGTTCACCAGTTCTTCTCCACACTCTTTTTCTTCCATCCACCATGTTAAGGCAAAACCTTGACTCATCCGTAAACAAGACATTCTACATTTCAGGAATATTCCACTGTCCATAATTTTCAACAAAATTTCTTCTATCAGCACGATGTTCGGGCAATTATTTGGGACCTTTTGCTGGTCAAGTAGCTTTTGAATTAACTTCTTTTAGACGTCTACATACCGTCTGCTTACTTACTGCAACATCACGAATTTAGCGAAGATCTTGCTGAACATTCACCGCAGTATTTGATCGATTCCGTAAAATCCGCAATCTCAAGAAGCGATCATCTCTTGGAGAAGTTTTTCGGGGGCGACCAGAACCGACCCTCCGAGCAGTGCTTCCTGTTTGTACGTACTTGCGGATTGCTCTACGAGCAGTTGCTTCATGAACTCCCACTGCACGAGCGGCTTAACGTTTACTACGCCCATCGTTTACTAACGCAACTAATCTTGCTACTTGTTCAGGATTCATTTGAGGCATTTTATGTAATTTTAGTCAATAAAACAAGACACTTAATTAATGACACAACGACAAATGGTCTAATATGGAGGCATACAACAAATTAGTTGCTATGGCAACGGCATTCTTTTTTTAAATGCAATGTGATCCTACCAGAGTACAACAAATAATATAAAAATCGGCCTACTATTTTTTTTTTTTTTTTGAAGATAGGTCAAATATCAAGTGCGTCACTTTTTTTGGAACTGAGTGAGTGAGTGAATTGAATTCAAATTCAAATTCAATTCATATTCAAATATTCTTTATTGTCAGAAGATTTTGCATCCCATTGACAAAGGTTTGTAGGTACATGTAAATATAAACATAACTAATAGTGTATAGATATGAACAGATAAGTAACAAAAAATTTTAGAATAAATCAAGTACAAATACAATAAAAGTAAAATAGATTACACATATTATTTTCAAAAGGATTCATTAAAATACTCTTGTAGGCTATAAAAGGGTCTATCAGCTAGCAAATTTCTCACTGCTTTCCTAAAATGCACATTGGTCAGATTTGCAGATCTTATATCTACTGGTAAGTGATTGAAAAGCTTTCCACCATTATAAAAAATGGAATCCTTGATTAATGTTGACTTGGGTATGGGAAGTCTGATATTAAATATGCTATTACGAGTAGCATACGGAGAAGAAACAAAGTCAAACTCCGTTTTGTGTTTGTATACCAGACATACAGTTTCAAGAATAAACAGTGCAACGACAGTTAAAATCTTATTGGCAGCAAAATAATTCCTGCATGAATCCCTAGGTTTGACCTTACAGAGACACCTTACAGCCCTTTTCTGTAATATCAACACAGAAGAGAGAAGGGTTGCACTGCATGTTCCCCAAAAAGGTATTCCATATCTTATTTGAGAGTCAATTGAAGCGTAGTAAGTGGTTTTTGCTGTGTGAAAACCCAACTCATTAGAAACCATTCTCACTGCATAACATCCGGATGAAAAATGCAATGGTCACAAATAGAGAGAAACTCAAAGTCAATGCCACAATAGTTCATAAAATGAACGAATATGGTAGATAACGAAAGAAAAACAACTACTTCCCTGGCTATATGCCACGCAGAACACTGGATTACATCCTCCCGAAATCTATGAAATTATTCGTATAGACGAATAAAATCACAAGCGTTTCCTTCCTAAACGCCGAGCTGCGCCTAAGTGATTCAGGAACGTGTGACTACCTGCAGACCGGTTTCGAGCTGTTGACTCTCATCAGTGCAGGGCTGTCCCAGATAGCTTCTTGATCGCTATCTGGTGCGGACCTGACCCAACGTAATCGCATCTCAGCATTTATACCCCACGAGGCGTTCAACGTCCGCGAAATGAAAACGGGAACGCCGAACGCCACCTGGCAAGGCAAGGAACTCACGTGGAGCAGAACACATTTTTCGAATCAATAAAGTTACAAAATTATTTAATGAAAATTTGAAAAACTAAGAAAAAACGTTTTTTGTGTTATTACAATAAGCCAGTGGAATTGCCACATTAGGAGGCCGAAAGACATCCCAAAATGAGAAAACGATTCCATCTTGATTTTGCTGGATTAACCTGATAACATGTGACCAAATGTCAATGTCAAACTTATCTCTGACAGACAACTGTAGCTGTCGCCGGTGATGCAAGACAAGAGATGATTGGTCCAATGAAAATCATGACAAACTTGTGGATAGTGACATTAGATGATAAAGATAGTAGGGGGACAACCCAAGGTTAACAATGCTATGAGAAAAAAATATCTGATCATAATCCTGAAGAGTGAGGAGTGCAATCAGGTTGATAATTTTAAACTGATGCATTTTTTGATGTTATCCTTATAAATGAGAATTGGGGATGGATTTTCAACTCTCCTATATCTCCTCATCGATGAGAATATCTGAAAATACAGGATGATTGAAAACTCTGGTTTGAAAAAGCCGTTCTTAGAATATCTCGACTCTTAGTTGTATCTTATCAGTTCTTTTTTCTTATGGTAAGACATCATTCGATTCGAATTAGTTTTTCTTTCGTTTCTATTTGATAGTATCGAAAGAGATTCATTTATCATGAAAAATATCCTGAGATTTCAAATTTCATACAAGACATCACTCGATTCGAATTAGTTTTTCTTTCCTTTCTATTTGATAGTATCGAAAGAGATTCATTCATCATGAAAAATATCCTGAGATTTCAAATTTCATACAGGATGTTTCATAATTGACTGTCAATACTCGAGGAGGCGATTCTTGGGCCCATTCTAAGAAGAAAGTTTCATATGAACGTATGACCTAAACGTCCTAACTTTTGAGATACAGGGTGATCAAGTTCTCAGGAATTAATAGTTTTTTATTAATATCTGTAATATATACCACTTCAGATATTCTAATGAAAGCTGGCTTAGTTGTACTATGTATCAAACATCAGTTAGTGTACCACATTTTTTTTGGTTGCCACCAGTGGCGTTCGTATGGAATTTCACATACCTATTTTGGCAGACATTGATGGTACGCCACTGATTAATCACGAAATTGGAATCATTCTTGGAATTCCCTATCATTTTTAGGCAAATTGAATCATCACAATTTTTGAAATGATAAGCATTTCAATTTTTTTTTAGGGTACACAGTAATTTTTCATGGCATACAGTGTCCAAGGCTTTTGCTTAGTCTACGAGAATGCAAAGCGACGGTTCACTTTTGTCAATGAGTTGCTATGATTTCGTAATTACGCAAGTCATTGCATCCTCGGTCGACTTACTCTGACTAAAGCCGAACTGCTTTTCTGAAATTATTTTATGCTTGTTCAGATAGTGAGTTCTTTTTTCCAGGATTTTCTCAAATATTTTCGCTAAGTTTCTTATCAAACATATTCTTGAACTAGGCTTTTGTTTTGTATACATTCAAAGCATTTCCAAAGATTGTGTAGACTTTTCTCAATTTTATGTAGCTGTTGTTCATAGAACTCGACTTTAGTTTTCAAAATTTCCTCGTCTAGTTTGTTTTTGTATTTTCTGACTTGCTTTTTTCAATAATTGATCTTCAGGATTTTATTGCAATTTTTTAACATCTCTGTTTTTGTATTCACCGATTTGATTTATTGATTTCGGTTTCTTTATTCTTTTATTTGAATTATTGAATGTTGCTGCATGAATTCTCTCTCAATATAATCGATCGCATCTCGTTACAGAATGAAATCCGAGCAGTTGACGTTGGCAGCACTGGCACTGGCCACTCTATGCAACGTCGCCTCTCCTCGACCGGCAGATCCTTATCACAACTTGCCTGGTCCAGCAGACGATGGCCGATGCAGATGCTTAGCCGACGGAATGCACGGAGCCGATGGAGCAAACGGTGTCGATGGAAAGGATGGTGCCAATGGAGCGAACGGTGACGATGGAGCAAACGGTGCCGATGGAAAGAACGGTGTTGATGGGGTGGACGGAGATGACGGAGTAGACGGAGCCGATGGAAAGAACGGTGCCGATGGAGCCGACGGTGACGACGGAATGGACGGAGCCGATGGGAAGAACGGTGTCAATGGGGCAGACGGAGATGACGGAGTTAACGGAGCCGATGGAGCGAACGGTGTCGATGGAAAGGATGGTGCCAATGGAGCGAACGGTGACGACGGAGCAAACGGTGCCGATGGAAAGAACGGTATTGATGGGGTGGACGGAGATGACGGACTAGACGGAGTCGATGGAAAAAACGGTGCCGATGGAGCAGACGGTGGAGACGGATTGGACGGAGCCGATGGAAAGGACGGTGTCAATGGGGCAGACGGAGACGACGGAGCGAACGGTGTCGATGGAGCGAATGGAGCCGATGGGAAGAACGGTGTCAATGGGGTGGACGGAGACGACGGAGTTAACGGAGTAGATGGAGCGAACGGGATCGATGGAAAGAACGGTGCCAATGGAGCGGACGGAGACGATGGAGTGGATGGAGCCGATGGGAAGAACGGTATCAATGGGGCAGACGGAGACGACGGAGTTAACGGAGCCGATGGAGCGAACGGTGTCGATGGAAAGAACGGTATAAATGGAGTGAACGGTGATGACGGAGCAATTGGTGCCGATGGAAAGGACGGTGTCGATGGGGTGGACGGAGATGAAGGAGTAGACGGAGCCGATGGAAAGAACGGTGCCGATGGAGCAGACGGTGGCGACGGAGTGGACGGAGCCGATGGAAAGAACGGTATCAGTGGGGCAGACGGAGACGACGGAGCGAACGGTGTCGATGGAGCAAATGGAGCTGATGGAAAGAACGGTGTCGATGGGGTGAACGGAGACGACGGAGTTAAGGGAGCCGATGGAGCGAATGGTGTCAATGGAAAGGACGGTGCCAATGGAGCGGACGGTGACGACGGAGCAAACGGTGCCGATGGAAAGAACGGTGTCGATGGGGTGGACGGAGATGACGGAGTGGACGGAGCCGATGGAAAGAAAGGTGCCGATGGAGCAGACGGTGACGACGGAGTGGACGGAGCCGATGGAAAGAACGGTATCAATGGGGCAGACGGAGGCGACGGACTTAACGGAGCCGATGGAGCGAACGGTGTCGATGGAAAGAACGGTATTAATGGAGCGAACGGTGATGACGGAGCAACTGGTGCCGATGGAAAGAACGGTGTCGATGGGGTGGACGGGGATGACGGAGTAGACGGAGCTGATGGAAAGAACGGTGTCGATGGAGCAGACGGTGACGACGGAGTGGACGGAGCCAATGGAAATAACGGTATCAATGGGGCAGACGGAGACGATGGAGCGAACGGTGTCGATGGAGCAAATGGAGCCGATGGGAAGAACGGTATCGATGGAGTGAAAGGAGACGACGGAGAAAAGGGTGCCGATGGAGCAAATGGTGTCGATGGAAAAGACGGTGCCAATGGAGTGGACGGTGACGACGGAGCAAACGGTGCCGATGGAAATAACGGTGTCGATGGGGTGGACGGAGATGACGGAGTGAACGGAGCCGATGGAAAAAAAGGTGCCGATGGAGTAGACGGTGATGACGGAGTGGACGGAGCCGATGGAAAGAACGGTATCAATGGGGCAGACGGAGACGACGGAGTTAACGGAGCCGATGGAGCGAACGGTGTCGATGGAAAGAACGGTATCAATGGAGCGAACGGTGATGACGGAGTAATTGGTGCCGACGGAAAGAACGGTGTCGATGGGGTGGACGGAGATGGCGGAGTAGACGGAGCCGATGGAAAGAACGGTGCCGATGGAACAGACGGAGAGGACGGAATGGATGGAGCCGATGGAAAGAATGGTGCCGATGGAGCAGACGGTGGAGACGGAGCGAAGGGTGCCGACGGAGCAAATGGTGCCGATGGAAAGAACGGTGTCGATGGGGTGAACGGAGATGGCGGAGTAGACGGAGCCGATGGAAAGAAAGGTGCCGATGGAGCAGACGGTGACGACGGAATTGACGGAGCCGATGGAAAGAACGGTGTCAATGGGGCTGACGGAGACGACGGAGCGAACGGTGCAGATGGAGCAAAGGGGGCCGATGGAAAGGACGGTGTCGATGGGGTGAATGGAGACGATGGAAAAAACGGTATCAATGGAGCGAACGGTGATGACGGAGCAATTGGTGCCGATGGAGCAAACGGTGTCGATGGAAAGAATGGTATCAATGGTGCGAACGGTGATGACGGAGCAATTGGTGCCGATGGAGCAAACGGTGTCGATGGAAAGAACGGTATCAATGGAGCGAACGGTGATGACGGAGCAATTGGTGCCGATGGAAAGAACGGTGTCGATGGGGTGGACGGAGATGGCGGAGGAGACGGAGCCGATGGAAAAAACGGTGCCGATGGAACAGACGGAGACAACGGAATGGACGGAGCCGATGGAAAGAATGGTGCCGATGGAGCAGACGGTGCAGGCGGTGCGAATGGTGCCGACGGAGCAAATGGGGTGGATGGAAAGAACGGTGTGGATGGGGTGAACGGAGATGACGGAGTTAACGGAGTCGATGGAGCGAACGGGATCGATGGAAAAAACGGTGCCAATGGAGCAATCGGTGATGACGGAACAATTGGTACCGATGGAAAGAACGGTGTCGATGGGGTGGACGGAGATGGCGGAGTAGACGGAGCCAATGGAAAGAACGGTGTTGATGGAAAGAGCGGTGCTAATGGAGCGGACGGTGACGACGGAGCAAATGGTGCCGATGGAGCACACGGTGACGACGGAATCATCGGTGTCGATGGAGCCAACGGTGCCAATGGAGCAGACGGTGTCGATGGAAGAAACGGTGCCGATGGGCTGGACGGAGGAGATGGAGTGAACGGAGCCGACGGAGCAGACGGAGACAAAGGAGTGGACGGAGCCGATGAAGCAAACGGTGCCGATGGAAAGAACGGTGCCGATGGAGCCAACGGTGCCGATGGAGCGCACGGAACCGATGGAGTAGACGGAGACGATGGAGCGAACGGTGCTGATGGAGCGCATGGTGCCGATGGTGTAAACGGAGACGACGGAAAGGTCGGTGCCGATGGAGCGAACGGTGCCGATGGAGCGCATAATGCCAATGGAGCAGATGGAGACGACGGAGCAAACGGTGCCAGCGATGTGGGACGATGAATGTTTTTTCAGAATTAGTTGATCTACTGCTCATCAACTGAGCTACTCAACTTACTCTATATTCTTTTTGTAATATTTTTCAACCACACTTGTAGTGAAAATTGGTCAAAAGGAATTACATTTTGATGCAATGCTTCAATTTGAATAAAAAACGCCTCCCTATGAACCTGTTTTTGGCAGCGACCTTGGTGTTTGTAGATAAAATATTTGTGCTGTTATTGTTTTTAGCAATTGAGGAGGCCGATTCTTCGCCGTTGAGTGTAGATCGTTTAATTGGCATCCTAGGAGAGAAAATATCAAATTCAAGAACTTTATGATCTCATTATCTACATAGAATGTCATATGTTAATTTCATCAGATACCACGAGTGATACTATTTAGCCGGAAATATTCTGTAATTATTGTTAGATTAGCTTGTTGCTCAATAGTTTCGTGAATTACATTGTCAACAAAACGAGTTTAGGATCGATGTCATGAAACAAAAGTAAAAAAACTAGTAGCTGTATGTTACGTGAATTAGCAGAGCTATGTTCTTGTTATCTTATCTGCATCAACTAAGTAACATTCACCTACAGCTATTATGCTTTTTGATCAGATATATATTAGGTTTTGGTGCACTATCGGGGTTTTAGGTGAGATTAAAGTATTACCGTTGATTATACTATAATATGTTATTCATAAATAGTATGGTTCATCAGGGTTATACAGAATCATGTAAACAACAAATTACAGAAAAACTTATACAACTAAAGAAAATACAGAAATACACAAATAATAGTAACTACAAAAAAAAGTCATAAAATTGGATAAAAAGAAAAAAGATTATAAAATTGGTGTTCGATTATATTCATCAGCAGAGTGGAAGCAATGTCCAAGTAGGATTTTTTTAACATTCTTCGTTCATAGATCTAACAAAATGAGGTAGCTTATGATGCATGATGTATTCATGAAAAGCGGGACACACTATATATTTGAGCTAAACAAGGTAGGATAACCACAGGAGATAAAAGGCAAATTCAGAATTGGGGGTCGATAAGTAGTATCATATGGAATAATACAAGAGAATTTCTCAGTAATAAAGGATGTTCTAATTTGACAATTTCATTAATTGAAAGAAAAATATAAAAAATGAACAAGTTTGATGTATTCTGTATTTGTTGAGGAAGAAATATTGAGAGATCTGTTTTGAGCAACTAGGAAGAAATTATTGGCATATATACAGGCTAATTCACGGTGGATGGCACATTAGACGTTTTTGGAGAACGCAACGTAGCATGATTTTGAGAAGTTAGTTCCTAGGATAATTAGTTGTGTTCTATCGACCTAAAATATTCTCAGCATTGCGACGTTGCCGCTTATATTGAAAAGAAGCAATAACTTTGATTTTTCGAATGAGACACCCTGTATACCATTCCATTTTCAGATTCTTCCTGGAGAGCTAATTTCATTACCCAATAATACTTGGGGTCTAGCAGTTATAATTACAGAGCTATAGGATGTTAAAAATCGAGATTTCTTAACTTAGGGAATTTTTTGTGTGGAAACTATTCATAATTGGTCAAAACGGTTTTCAAGTTCCTATCTCAACATTTTATTCACTATCAATTGATATTTGATTGAAATAAATACAGGGTGTTTCAGAATTGAGATTTTTGACTACCCTTTATCTATTTCAATTAAATGTCAATTCAGAGTAACTAGCACAGAAGCTTCGTCAGGTTATACAATGAACTAAAGCAACCTTGGCTTGCTCATTTTTCATATATCCTACTTTCCCAACTTGAAGGATTAGTTACCTGTGCACAGGTTCGATAAACCTTCATTTTCGGAAATTAGGCACAATATCTACATTAAAATACGGTGTACAGGATTAACTTGAATGGGTTGAGAGTAAATGAATATTATTACCTACTAAGGAAACACAGTCAACAGTGGTGAACTAATGAGGTATAATAGATCGTTGAGTAAAATGTCAAAATTTCTTAGTTTGTTGATTTCTAATGATGCAAAATGATTGAGTTCCATTCCTTTATTTTCTACGTGTAGAATTTCGAAATTATCATCAAAACTATGACCTTCTTTTAATGTATGGTTGGCGTATGTTGAATTTGTTTTCTTTTCGAAAAACTCATCTTATGTTCATGAATGCGCTGATTAAACGTACGACCTGCCTGACCGATATATATTTCAGAGCAAGATTCATGAATGCGCTGATTAAACGTACGACCTGTCTGACCGATATATACCTTAGGACAAGATTCGCAGTTGAGTGTGGGACATATACCGGGTGATCAAGATTCTGAATTCTGCACCACTCTGTATTTGTTTCAATTAAATGTCAGTAGATAGTTGATCAAAAGTTGAGATAGGGACATGTGAGCCGTTTCGACCAATAATGAATAGTTTCGACAAAATAAATTTCTTAAGTTGAAAAATGTCGATTTTTCATACCCTATATCTCTGTAATCATTTTCGCTAGACCCCAAGTGTGATACATCGATAAAATCAGCTCTTCAGAGAGAATCTGAAAATGCAATAAAATACAGGGTGTTCCATTTAAAATAACAAAGTTGTTGCTACTTTTCGATAGAAGCGGCAACGCGGCAGAGCTGAAAATATTTTAGATCGATAGACCAAGAGCAACTACGTGAGTAACCAAAATTTCAGAATGATCCTATGTCTCGTTCTCCATAAACGTCTAACGTACCATCGACCGTGAGTTACCGTGAGTTACCCCTGTATATCGGTCAGTGTTATGAAATCGCACTCCAGATATTCTTATGTAAGCTGGCTTAGTTGCACTATGTATCAAGAGACATCAGTTAGTGTACCACATTTTTTATTGCCACCAGTGGCGTTCGTATGGAATTTCACATACCTATTTCGGCAGACATTGATGGTACGCCACTGATTAATCACGAAATTGGAATCATTCTTGGAATTCCCTATCATTTTTAGGCAAATTGAATCATCACAATATTTAAAATAAAAAGCTTTTCATTTTTTTTAGGGTACACAGTAATTTTTCATGGCATACAGTGTCCAAGACTTTTGCTCAGTCTACGAAAATGCAAAGCGATGGTTTACTTTTGTCAATGAGTTGCTATAATTTTGTAATTACGCAAGTCATTGCATCCTCGGTCGATTTACTCTGCCTAAAGCCGAACTGCTTTTCTGAAATTATTATATGCTTGTTCAGATAGTGAGTTCTTTTTCTTTTTTCTTATTAAACATATTCTTGAACTAGGCTTTTGTTTTGTATAAATTCAAAGCATTTCCAAAGATTGTGTAGACTTTTCTCAATTTTATGTAGCTGTTGTTCATAGAACTCAACTTTGGTCTTCAAAATTACCTCTTTCAGTTTGTTTTTGTATTTTCTGACTTGGTTTTTTCAATAATTGATCTTCAGGATTTTGATGCAATTTTTTTACATCTCTGTTTTTGTATTCACCGATTTGATTTATTGATTTCGGTTTCTTTATTCTTTAATTTGAATTATTGAATGTTGCTGCATGAATTCACCTCAACGTTCCTCTCAATATAATCGATCGTATCTCGTTACAGAATGAAATCCGAGCAGTTGACGTTGGCAGCACTGGCACTGGCCACTTTATGCAACGTCGCCTCTCCTCGACCGGCCGATCCTTATCACAACTTGCCTGGTCCAGCAGACGATGGCCGATGCAGATGCTTAGCCGACGGAATGCACGGAGCCGATGGAGCGAACGGTGACGATGGAGCAAACGGTGCCGATGGAAAGAACGGTGTTGATGGGGTGGACGGAGATGACGGAGTAGACGGAGCCGATGGCAAGAACGGTGCCGATGGAGCCGACGGTGACGACGGAATGGACGGAGCCGATGGGAAGAACGGTGTCAATGGGGCAGACGGAGACGACGGAGTTAACGGAGCCGATGGAGCGAACGGTGTCGATGGAAAGGATGGTGCCAATGGAGCGAACGGTGACGACGGAGCAAACGGTGCCGATGGAAAGAACGGTGTTGATGGGGTGGACGGAGATGACGGACTAGACGGAGTCGATGGAAAAAACGGTGCCGATGGAGCAGACGGTGGAGACGGATTGGACGGAGCCGATGGAAAGGACGGTATCAATGGGGCAGACGGAGACGACGGAGCGAACGGTGTCGATGGAGCGAATGGAGCCGATGGTAAGAACGGTGTCAATGGGGTAAACGGAGACGACGGAGTTAACGGAGTAGATGGAGCGAACGGGATCGATGGAAAGAATGGTGCCAATGGAGCGAACGGAGACGATGGAGTGGATGGAGCCGATGGAAAGAACGGTATCAATGAAGCAGACGGAGACGACGGAGTTAACGGAGCCGATGGAGCGAACGGTGTCGATGGAAAGAACGGTATCAATGGAGTGAACGGTGATGACGGAGCAATTGGTGCCGATGGAAAGAACGGTGTCGATGGGGTGGACGGAGATGATGGAGTAGACGGAGCCGATGGAAAGAACGGTGCCGATGGAGCAGACGGTGGCGACGGAGTGGACGGAGCCGATGGAAAGAACGGTATAGTGGGGCAGACGGAGACGACGGAGCGAACGGTGTCGATGGAGCAAATGGAGCTGATGGAAAGAACGGTGTCGATGGGGTGAAAGGAGACGACGGAGTTGAGGGAGCCGATGGAGCGAATGGTGTCAATGGAAAAGACGGTGCCAATGGAGCGGACGGTGACGACGGAGCAAACGGTGCCGATGGAAAGAACGGTGTCGATGGGGTGGACGGAGATGACGGAGTGGACGGAGCCGATGGAAAGAAAGGTGCCGATGGAGCAGACGGTGACGACGGAGTGGACGGAGCCGATGGAAAGAACGGTATCAATGGGGCAGACGGAGGCGACGGACTTAACGGAGCCGATGGAGTGAACGGTGTCGATGGAAAGAACGGTATCAATGGAGCGAACGGTGATGACGGAGCAACTGGTGCCGACGGAAAGAACGGTGTCGATGGGGTGGACGGAGATGACGGAGTAGACGGAGCTGATGGAAAGAACGGTGTCGATGGCGCAGACGGTGACGACGGAGTGGACGGAGCCAATGGAAAGAACGGTATCAATGGGGCAGACGGAGACGGCGGAGCGAACGGTGTCGATGGAGCGAATGGAGTCGATGGGAAGAACGGTATCGATGGAGTGAAAGGAGACGACGGAGATAAGGGAGCCGATGGAGCAAATGGTGTCGATGGAAAGGACGGTGCCAATGGAGTGGACGGTGACGACGGAGCAAACGGTGCCGATGGAAAGAACGGTGTTGATGGGGTGGACGGAGATGACGGAGTGGACGGAGCCGATGGAAAAAAAGGTGCCGATGGAGTAGACGGTGACGACGGAGTCGACGGAGCCGATGGAAAGAACGGTATCAATGGGGCAGACGGAGACGACGGAGTTAACGGAGCCGATGGAGCGAACGGTGTCGATGGAAAGAACGGTATCAATGGAGCGAACGGTGATGACGGAGTAATTGGTGCCGACGGAAAGAACGGTGTCGATGGGGTGGACGGAGATGGCGGAGTAGACGGAGCCGATGGAAAGAACGGTGCCGATGGAACAGACGGAGTTGACGGAATGGATGGAGCCGATGGAAAGAATGGTGCCGATGGAGCAGACGGTGGAGACGGAGCGAAGGGTGCCGACGGAGCAAATGGTGACGATGGAAAAAACGGTGTCGATGGGGTGGACGGAGATGGCGGAGTAGACGGAGCCGATGGAAAGAAAGGTGCCGATGGAGCAGACGGTGACGACGGAATGGACGGAGCCGATGGAAAAAACGGTGTCAATGGGGCTGACGGAGACGACGAAGCGAACGGTGCAGATGGAGCAAAGGGGGCCGATGGAAAGGACGGTGTCGATGGGGTGAATGGAGACGATGGAAAAAACGGTATCAATGGAGCGAACGGTGATGACGGAGCAATTGGTGCCGATGGAGCAAACGGTGTCGATGGAAAGAATGGTATCAATGGTGCGAACGGTGATGACGGAGCAATTGGTGCCGATGGAGCAAACGGTGTCGATGGAAAGAACGGTATCAATGGAGCGAACGGTGATGACGGAGCAATTGGTGCCGATGGAAAGAACGGTGACGATGGGGTGGACGGAGATAGCGGAGGAGACGGAGCCGATGGAAAAAACGGTGTCGATGGAAGAGACGGAGACAACGGAATGGACGGAGCCGATGGAAAGAATGGTGCCGATGGAGCAAACGGTGCAGGCGGTGCGAATGGTGCCGACGGAGCAAATGGGGTGGATGGAAAGAACGGTGTGGATGGGGTGAACGGAGATGACGGAGTTAACGGAGTCGATGGAGCGAACGGGATCGATGGGAAAAACGGTGCCAATGGAGCAATCGGTGATGACGGAGCAATTGGTGCTGATGGAAAGAACGGTGTCGATGGGGTGGACGGAGATGGCGGAGTAGACGGAGCCAATGGAAAGAACGGTGTTGATGGAAAGAGCGGTGCTAATGGAGCGGACGGTGACGACGGAGCAAATGGTGCCGATGGAAAGAACGGTGCCGATGGAGCAGACGGTGACGACGGAATCATCGGTGTCGATGGAGCCAACGGTGCCAATGGAGACAACGGTGTCGATGGAAGGAACGGTGCCGATGGGCTGAACGGAGGAGATGGAGTGAACGGAGCCGACGGAGCAGACGGAGACAAAGGAGCGGACGGAGCCGATGGAGCAAACGGTGCCGATGGAAAGAACGGTGCCGATGGAGCCAACGGTGCCGATGGAGCGCACGGAGCCGATGGATTAGACGGAGACGATGGAGCGAACGGTGCTGATGGAGCGCATGGTGCCGATGGTGCAAACGGAGACGACGGAAAGGTCGGTGCCGATGGAGCGAACGGTGCCGATGGAGCGCATGGTGCCAATGGAGCAGATGCAGACGACGGTGCAAACGGTGCCAACGATGTGAGACGATGAATGATTTTTCAGAATTAGTTGATCTACTGCTCATCAACTGAGCTACTCAACTCACTCTATATCCTTTTTGTAATATTTTTCAACCACACTTGTAGTGGAAATTGGTCAAAAGGATCCTAATTACATTTTAATGCAATGCTTTAATTTGAACAAAAAACGCCTCCCTATGAACCTGTTTTTGGCAGCGACCTTGGTGTTTGTAGATAAAATATTTGTGCTGTTATTGTTTTTAGCAATTGAGGATCGGTGGTGGCCTATTCTCCGCCGTTGACTGTTGATCGTTTAATTGGCATCCTAGGAGAGAAAATATCAAATTCAAGAACTTTATGATCTCATTATCTACATAGAATGTCATATGTTAATTTCATCAGATACCACGAGTGATACTATTTAGCCGGAAATATTCTGTAATTATTGTTAGATTAGCTTGTTGCTCAATAGTTTCGTGAATTACATTGTCAACAAAACGAGTTTTGGATCGATGTCATGAAACAAAAGTAACAAAACTAGTAGCAGTATGTTACGTGAATTAGCAGAGCTATGTTCTTGTTATCTTATCTGCATCAACTAAGTAACATTCACCTACAGCTATTATGCTTTTTGATCAGATATATATTAGGTTTTGGTGCACTATCGGGGTTTTAGGTGAGATTAAAGTATTACCGCTGATTATACTATAATATGTTATTCATAAATAGTATGGTTCATCAGGGTTATACAGAATCATGTAAACAACAAATTACAGAAAAACTTATACAACTAAAGAAAATACAAAAATACACAAATAATAGTAACTACAAAAAAAAGTCATAAAATTGGATAAAAAGAAAAAAGATTATGAAATTGGTGTTCGATTATATTCATCAGCAGAGTGGAAGCAATGTCCAAGTAGGATTTTTTTAACATTCTTCGTTCATAGATCTAACAAAATGAGGTAGCTTATGATGCATGATGTATTCATGAAAAGCGGGACACACTATATATTTGAGCTAAACAAGGTAGGATAACCACAGGAGATAAAAGGCAAATTCAGAATTGGGGGTCGATAAGTAGTATCATATGGAATAATACAAGAGAATTTCTCAGTAATAAAGGATGTTCTAATTTGACAATTTCATTAATTGAAAGAAAAATATAAAAAATAAACAAGTTCGATGTATTCTATATTTGTTGAGGAAGAAATATTGAGAGATCTGTTTTGAGCAACTAGGAAGAAATTATTGGCTGATTCACGGTGGATGGCACATTAGACGTTTTTGGAGAACGCAACGTAGCATGATTTTGAGAAGTTAGTTCCTAGGATAATTAGTTGTGTTCTATCGACCTAAAATATTCTCAGCATTGCGACGTTGCCGCTTATATTGAAAAGAAGCAATGACTTTGATTTTTCGAATGAGACAACCTGTATACCATTCCATTTTCAGATTCTTCCTGGAGAGCTAATTTCATCACCCAATAATACTTGGGGTCTAGCAGTTATAATTACAGAGCTATAGGATGTTAAAAATCGAGATTTCTTAACTTAGGGAATTTTTTGTGTGGAAACTATTCATAATTGGTCAAAACGGTTTTCAAGTTCCTATCTCAACATTTTATTCACTATCAATTGATATTTGATTGAAATAAATACAGGGTGTTTCAGAATTGAGATTTTTGACTACCCTTTATCTATTTCAATTAAATGTCAATTCAGAGTAACTAGCACAGAAGCTTCGTCAGGTTATACAATGAACTAAAGCAACCTTGGCTTGCTCATTTTTCATATATCCTACTTTCCCAACTTGAAGGATTAGTTACCTGTGCACAGGTTCGATAAACCTTCATTTTCGGAAATTAGGCACAATATCTACATTAAAATACGGTGTACAGGATTAACTTGAATGGGTTGAGAGTAAATGAATATTATTACCTACTAAGGAAACACAGTCAACAGTGGTGAACTAATGAGGTATAATAGATCGTTGAGTAAAATGTCAAAATTTCTTAGTTTGTTGATTTCTAATGATGCAAAATGATTGAGTTCCATTCCTTTATTTTCTACGTGTAGAATTTCGAAATTATCATCAAAACTATGACCTTCTTTTAATGTATGGTTGGCGTATGTTGAATTTGTTTTCTTTTCGAAAAACTCATCTTATGTTCATGAATGCGCTGATTAAACGTACGACCTGCCTGACCGATATATATTTCAGAGCAAGATTCATGAATGCGCTGATTAAACGTACGACCTGTCTGACCGATATATACCTTAGGACAAGATTCGCAGTTGAGTGTGGGACATATACCGGGTGATCAAGATTCTGAATTCTGCACCACTCTGTATTTGTTTCAATTAAATGTCAGTAGATAGTTGATCAAAAGTTGAGATAGGGACATGTGAGCCGTTTCGACCAATAATGAATAGTTTCGACAAAATAAATTTCTTAAGTTGAAAAATGTCGATTTTTCATACCCTATATCTCTGTAATCATTTTCGCTAGACCCCAAGTGTGATACATCGATAAAATCAGCTCTTCAGAGAGAATCTGAAAATGCAATAAAATACAGGGTGTTCCATTTAAAATAACAAAGTTGTTGCTACTTTTCGATAGAAGCGGCAACGCGGCAGAGCTGAAAATATTTTAGATCGATAGACCAAGAGCAACTACGTGAGTAACCAAAATTTCAGAATGATCCTATGTCTCGTTCTCCATAAACGTCTAACGTACCATCGACCGTGAGTTACCGTGAGTTACCCCTGTATATCGGTCAGTGTTATGAAATCGCACTCCAGATATTCTTATGTAAGCTGGCTTAGTTGCACTATGTATCAAGAGACATCAGTTAGTGTACCACATTTTTTATTGCCACCAGTGGCGTTCGTATGGAATTTCACATACCTATTTCGGCAGACATTGATGGTACGCCACTGATTAATCACGAAATTGGAATCATTCTTGGAATTCCCTATCATTTTTAGGCAAATTGAATCATCACAATATTTAAAATAAAAAGCTTTTCATTTTTTTTAGGGTACACAGTAATTTTTCATGGCATACAGTGTCCAAGACTTTTGCTCAGTCTACGAAAATGCAAAGCGATGGTTTACTTTTGTCAATGAGTTGCTATAATTTTGTAATTACGCAAGTCATTGCATCCTCGGTCGATTTACTCTGCCTAAAGCCGAACTGCTTTTCTGAAATTATTATATGCTTGTTCAGATAGTGAGTTCTTTTTCTTTTTTCTTATTAAACATATTCTTGAACTAGGCTTTTGTTTTGTATAAATTCAAAGCATTTCCAAAGATTGTGTAGACTTTTCTCAATTTTATGTAGCTGTTGTTCATAGAACTCAACTTTGGTCTTCAAAATTACCTCTTTCAGTTTGTTTTTGTATTTTCTGACTTGGTTTTTTCAATAATTGATCTTCAGGATTTTGATGCAATTTTTTTACATCTCTGTTTTTGTATTCACCGATTTGATTTATTGATTTCGGTTTCTTTATTCTTTAATTTGAATTATTGAATGTTGCTGCATGAATTCACCTCAACGTTCCTCTCAATATAATCGATCGTATCTCGTTACAGAATGAAATCCGAGCAGTTGACGTTGGCAGCACTGGCACTGGCCACTTTATGCAACGTCGCCTCTCCTCGACCGGCCGATCCTTATCACAACTTGCCTGGTCCAGCAGACGATGGCCGATGCAGATGCTTAGCCGACGGAATGCACGGAGCCGATGGAGCGAACGGTGACGATGGAGCAAACGGTGCCGATGGAAAGAACGGTGTTGATGGGGTGGACGGAGATGACGGAGTAGACGGAGCCGATGGCAAGAACGGTGCCGATGGAGCCGACGGTGACGACGGAATGGACGGAGCCGATGGGAAGAACGGTGTCAATGGGGCAGACGGAGACGACGGAGTTAACGGAGCCGATGGAGCGAACGGTGTCGATGGAAAGGATGGTGCCAATGGAGCGAACGGTGACGACGGAGCAAACGGTGCCGATGGAAAGAACGGTGTTGATGGGGTGGACGGAGATGACGGACTAGACGGAGTCGATGGAAAAAACGGTGCCGATGGAGCAGACGGTGGAGACGGATTGGACGGAGCCGATGGAAAGGACGGTATCAATGGGGCAGACGGAGACGACGGAGCGAACGGTATCGATGGAGCAAATGGAGCCGATGGGAAGAACGGTGTCAATGGGGTAAACGGAGACGACGGAGTTAACGGAGTAGATGGAGCGAACGGGATCGATGGAAAGAATGGTGCCAATGGAGCGAACGGAGACGATGGAGTGGATGGAGCCGATGGAAAGAACGGTATCAATGAAGCAGACGGAGACGACGGAGTTAACGGAGCCGATGGAGCGAACGGTGTCGATGGAAAGAACGGTATCAATGGAGTGAACGGTGATGACGGAGCAATTGGTGCCGATGGAAAGAACGGTGTCGATGGGGTGGACGGAGATGATGGAGTAGACGGAGCCGATGGAAAGAACGGTGCCGATGGAGCAGACGGTGGCGACGGAGTGGACGGAGCCGATGGAAAGAACGGTATAGTGGGGCAGACGGAGACGACGGAGCGAACGGTGTCGATGGAGCAAATGGAGCTGATGGAAAGAACGGTGTCGATGGGGTGAAAGGAGACGACGGAGTTGAGGGAGCCGATGGAGCGAATGGTGTCAATGGAAAAGACGGTGCCAATGGAGCGGACGGTGACGACGGAGCAAACGGTGCCGATGGAAAGAACGGTGTCGATGGGGTGGACGGAGATGACGGAGTGGACGGAGCCGATGGAAAGAAAGGTGCCGATGGAGCAGACGGTGACGACGGAGTGGACGGAGCCGATGGAAAGAACGGTATCAATGGGGCAGACGGAGGCGACGGACTTAACGGAGCCGATGGAGTGAACGGTGTCGATGGAAAGAACGGTATCAATGGAGCGAACGGTGATGACGGAGCAACTGGTGCCGACGGAAAGAACGGTGTCGATGGGGTGGACGGAGATGACGGAGTAGACGGAGCTGATGGAAAGAACGGTGTCGATGGCGCAGACGGTGACGACGGAGTGGACGGAGCCAATGGAAAGAACGGTATCAATGGGGCAGACGGAGACGGCGGAGCGAACGGTGTCGATGGAGCGAATGGAGTCGATGGGAAGAACGGTATCGATGGAGTGAAAGGAGACGACGGAGATAAGGGAGCCGATGGAGCAAATGGTGTCGATGGAAAGGACGGTGCCAATGGAGTGGACGGTGACGACGGAGCAAACGGTGCCGATGGAAAGAACGGTGTTGATGGGGTGGACGGAGATGACGGAGTGGACGGAGCCGATGGAAAAAAAGGTGCCGATGGAGTAGACGGTGACGACGGAGTCGACGGAGCCGATGGAAAGAACGGTATCAATGGGGCAGACGGAGACGACGGAGTTAACGGAGCCGATGGAGCGAACGGTGTCGATGGAAAGAACGGTATCAATGGAGCGAACGGTGATGACGGAGTAATTGGTGCCGACGGAAAGAACGGTGTCGATGGGGTGGACGGAGATGGCGGAGTAGACGGAGCCGATGGAAAGAACGGTGCCGATGGAACAGACGGAGTTGACGGAATGGATGGAGCCGATGGAAAGAATGGTGCCGATGGAGCAGACGGTGGAGACGGAGCGAAGGGTGCCGACGGAGCAAATGGTGACGATGGAAAAAACGGTGTCGATGGGGTGGACGGAGATGGCGGAGTAGACGGAGCCGATGGAAAGAAAGGTGCCGATGGAGCAGACGGTGACGACGGAATGGACGGAGCCGATGGAAAAAACGGTGTCAATGGGGCTGACGGAGACGACGAAGCGAACGGTGCAGATGGAGCAAAGGGGGCCGATGGAAAGGACGGTGTCGATGGGGTGAATGGAGACGATGGAAAAAACGGTATCAATGGAGCGAACGGTGATGACGGAGCAATTGGTGCCGATGGAGCAAACGGTGTCGATGGAAAGAATGGTATCAATGGTGCGAACGGTGATGACGGAGCAATTGGTGCCGATGGAGCAAACGGTGTCGATGGAAAGAACGGTATCAATGGAGCGAACGGTGATGACGGAGCAATTGGTGCCGATGGAAAGAACGGTGACGATGGGGTGGACGGAGATAGCGGAGGAGACGGAGCCGATGGAAAAAACGGTGTCGATGGAAGAGACGGAGACAACGGAATGGACGGAGCCGATGGAAAGAATGGTGCCGATGGAGCAAACGGTGCAGGCGGTGCGAATGGTGCCGACGGAGCAAATGGGGTGGATGGAAAGAACGGTGTGGATGGGGTGAACGGAGATGACGGAGTTAACGGAGTCGATGGAGCGAACGGGATCGATGGGAAAAACGGTGCCAATGGAGCAATCGGTGATGACGGAGCAATTGGTGCTGATGGAAAGAACGGTGTCGATGGGGTGGACGGAGATGGCGGAGTAGACGGAGCCAATGGAAAGAACGGTGTTGATGGAAAGAGCGGTGCTAATGGAGCGGACGGTGACGACGGAGCAAATGGTGCCGATGGAAAGAACGGTGCCGATGGAGCAGACGGTGACGACGGAATCATCGGTGTCGATGGAGCCAACGGTGCCAATGGAGACAACGGTGTCGATGGAAGGAACGGTGCCGATGGGCTGAACGGAGGAGATGGAGTGAACGGAGCCGACGGAGCAGACGGAGACAAAGGAGCGGACGGAGCCGATGGAGCAAACGGTGCCGATGGAAAGAACGGTGCCGATGGAGCCAACGGTGCCGATGGAGCGCACGGAGCCGATGGATTAGACGGAGACGATGGAGCGAACGGTGCTGATGGAGCGCATGGTGCCGATGGTGCAAACGGAGACGACGGAAAGGTCGGTGCCGATGGAGCGAACGGTGCCGATGGAGCGCATGGTGCCAATGGAGCAGATGGAGACGACGGAGCAAACGGTGCCAACGATGTGAGACGATGAATGATTTTTCAGAATTAGTTGATCTACTGCTCATCAACTGAGCTACTCAACTCACTCTATATCCTTTTTGTAATATTTTTCAACCACACTTGTAGTGGAAATTGGTCAAAAGGATCCTAATTACATTTTAATGCAATGCTTTAATTTGAACAAAAAACGCCTCCCTATGAACCTGTTTTTGGCAGCGACCTTGGTGTTTGTAGATAAAATATTTGTGCTGTTATTGTTTTTAGCAATTGAGGATCGGTGGTGGCCTATTCTCCGCCGTTGACTGTTGATCGTTTAATTGGCATCCTAGGAGAGAAAATATCAAATTCAAGAACTTTATGATCTCATTATCTACATAGAATGTCATATGTTAATTTCATCAGATACCACGAGTGATACTATTTAGCCGGAAATATTCTGTAATTATTGTTAGATTAGCTTGTTGCTCAATAGTTTCGTGAATTACATTGTCAACAAAACGAGTTTTGGATCGATGTCATGAAACAAAAGTAACAAAACTAGTAGCAGTATGTTACGTGAATTAGCAGAGCTATGTTCTTGTTATCTTATCTGCATCAACTAAGTAACATTCACCTACAGCTATTATGCTTTTTGATCAGATATATATTAGGTTTTGGTGCACTATCGGGGTTTTAGGTGAGATTAAAGTATTACCGCTGATTATACTATAATATGTTATTCATAAATAGTATGGTTCATCAGGGTTATACAGAATCATGTAAACAACAAATTACAGAAAAACTTATACAACTAAAGAAAATACAAAAATACACAAATAATAGTAACTACAAAAAAAAGTCATAAAATTGGATAAAAAGAAAAAAGATTATGAAATTGGTGTTCGATTATATTCATCAGCAGAGTGGAAGCAATGTCCAAGTAGGATTTTTTTAACATTCTTCGTTCATAGATCTAACAAAATGAGGTAGCTTATGATGCATGATGTATTCATGAAAAGCGGGACACACTATATATTTGAGCTAAACAAGGTAGGATAACCACAGGAGATAAAAGGCAAATTCAGAATTGGGGGTCGATAAGTAGTATCATATGGAATAATACAAGAGAATTTCTCAGTAATAAAGGATGTTCTAATTTGACAATTTCATTAATTGAAAGAAAAATATAAAAAATAAACAAGTTCGATGTATTCTATATTTGTTGAGGAAGAAATATTGAGAGATCTGTTTTGAGCAACTAGGAAGAAATTATTGGCTGATTCACGGTGGATGGCACATTAGACGTTTTTGGAGAACGCAACGTAGCATGATTTTGAGAAGTTAGTTCCTAGGATAATTAGTTGTGTTCTATCGACCTAAAATATTCTCAGCATTGCGACGTTGCCGCTTATATTGAAAAGAAGCAATGACTTTGATTTTTCGAATGAGACAACCTGTATACCATTCCATTTTCAGATTCTTCCTGGAGAGCTAATTTCATCACCCAATAATACTTGGGGTCTAGCAGTTATAATTACAGAGCTATAGGATGTTAAAAATCGAGATTTCTTAACTTAGGGAATTTTTTGTGTGGAAACTATTCATAATTGGTCAAAACGGTTTTCAAGTTCCTATCTCAACATTTTATTCACTATCAATTGATATTTGATTGAAATAAATACAGGGTGTTTCAGAATTGAGATTTTTGACTACCCTTTATCTATTTCAATTAAATGTCAATTCAGAGTAACTAGCACAGAAGCTTCGTCAGGTTATACAATGAACTAAAGCAACCTTGGCTTGCTCATTTTTCATATATCCTACTTTCCCAACTTGAAGGATTAGTTACCTGTGCACAGGTTCGATAAACCTTCATTTTCGGAAATTAGGCACAATATCTACATTAAAATACGGTGTACAGGATTAACTTGAATGGGTTGAGAGTAAATGAATATTATTACCTACTAAGGAAACACAGTCAACAGTGGTGAACTAATGAGGTATAATAGATCGTTGAGTAAAATGTCAAAATTTCTTAGTTTGTTGATTTCTAATGATGCAAAATGATTGAGTTCCATTCCTTTATTTTCTACGTGTAGAATTTCGAAATTATCATCAAAACTATGACCTTCTTTTAATGTATGGTTGGCGTATGTTGAATTTGTTTTCTTTTCGAAAAACTCATCTTATGTTCATGAATGCGCTGATTAAACGTACGACCTGCCTGACCGATATATATTTCAGAGCAAGATTCATGAATGCGCTGATTAAACGTACGACCTGTCTGACCGATATATACCATAGGACAAGATTCGCAGTTGAGTGTGGGACATATACCGGGTGATCAAGATTCTGAATTCTGCACCACTCTGTATTTGTTTCAATTAAATGTCAGTAGATAGTTGATCAAAAGTTGAGATAGGGACATGTGAGCCGTTTCGACCAATAATGAATAGTTTCGACAAAATAAATTTCTTAAGTTGAAAAATGTCGATTTTTCATACCCTATATCTCTGTAATCATTTTCGCTAGACCCCAAGTGTGATACATCGATAAAATCAGCTCTTCAGAGAGAATCTGAAAATGCAATAAAATACAGGGTGTTCCATTTAAAATAACAAAGTTGTTGCTACTTTTCGATAGAAGCGGCAACGCGGCAGAGCTGAAAATATTTTAGATCGATAGACCAAGAGCAACTACGTAAGTAACCAAAATTTCAGAATGATCCTATGTCTCGTTCTCCATAAACGTCTAACGTACCATCGACCGTGAGTTACCCTGTATATCGGTCAGTGTTATAAAACTTCCATTTTATTTTATGTGTTTTAATTTTTTCAATTTGTTCTTTTTTGTTTATCAAAGAATATTGTGTTTTTTATTTTCTATATCCTATATGTATTTTCATCAATGCATGTTCATTTCCGTTTTTGTTTGTATCTCTGAAAAAAATTGTAGATGGTATATATTTGATTGAAGAATTGGTGAGAGAAATAAACGAGGAAACGACCCCGAGAATTATTAATTTAGGTATCCAGGAATCGTAGATCCACCACTGAATACGTTGTGCAGTAGTATCGTTTATAATAATGGAAGATAATGCAATTTCAGGGCCGTCCTTGGTATGAAAATGAGGATTAGAAACCCAAAGGGTCTCACTAAGGATGAGATATTAGCTTTGGCTTTTAGTGATCTTGAGGATGACGAGGATTTACCCTCCACGATAGATTTTAATATACGTCGAATAAAATTCAAAGATAATGAGATGATTGTGTAATTCCTTGTCAAACAAAACACAACATTCAAATCGATATCAATAGCACAGAATAATGTAATCTTTCTTGGTTCTCAATAAATAGGTAATAGTTCCCTACCTACTACCAATATTTAATGTGAAAAATTACGACACTGAATTCAGTTTCCTAATGAGATACTTTACCGCACCAGTGCAATAATGTAATACTTTACAGCGCGAGTGCGGTAAAGTGAAATAGATAATTTCAAATATAAGTTGTTTACTCATTAAATAGGGATAAGAACTAATTGATCATGAATATAGCGGGCATTGAATTTTGGAGTGCTTCATTTGCCGTAATTTCTATATCTGAATCTATACTTTCGTGATCGGAATTTATGTTGATGCATTTCTATCTCAAATGGAAATGAACGCAGCAAAGTTTACATGAAGGGTGACAACCGAGAACACAATAGATGCACAAGTATACCCCCAACCCTTGCAATGCTCGCTTGATACATATTTCTAATGAATCATCAATTCAAGGAATATTAACTAGTAACATGAGAAATTTTGAAAAGCAATACAATGAAAAATATAGCTTTCCATTTAAAATAACTAAAAGGTAAACCGGAAGTGTCGCCATATTGACCATTTTTTCATCGAACGGGACCTAATCGATAACCCCTGTATACAAATTTCCAGATAAGTTACATTTCCAGAAATCCAGATACTCCTAATGTGCGATTTAGGCAAAACAGCCTGTATGGTTCATTAAAGTAGGCTCGAGATTAGGCCTTCTCTTTCAATAATTATTCACATTTGGGTAAAACTGCATTTTATTAAGATATTTCACTATAAAGTTACGAATTTCACCTTCTTTTACGCCTGTCTTCTGGATCGCATTTAGAACAATTTGCCCTTATTTTTTCATTTAACGTCTTGTACCAACTCAACGAAACGATTTTGGATATAGGTAAGTTGGCTAAAATCAACTCCTTTCCATCCCAGGAGTCTACAGTCAAACCATGTCCCAACCAGATTATTTTTCTAAAGAATGCATAAGATGCCTCAGATCAGAAATTATTTATTTGCAAATGAACCTCGAGACTTATCGAAAATTAACACGTTACGAAAAATATTTCTGAAGGAAATATCTTCCTGGAAAAAAAACTGGAAGTTTTCAGTCTGACCTCTGAAAAGTTATCACCAAATTTGTACGGCACCATGGTTGTTTGAAACACTTGCAGGTGACTGATGATGAACATGCCATGCCAAAAATTATGAAAATCGATCCCAGCCTACTCTTTTTATGAGCAAAATTATTTTTTTCCAAAAAAACTTCAACGCCTTGTACCAACTCAACGAGGCGATTTTGGATATAGGTAACTTGTTTTTATCCCTGGAGTCCACAGTCGAGCCATGTCCCAACCTTTTACAGACACCCTGTATATATCACAATATACGACACATTTTTTTCTATTATATGAGTCAATTAGAAATATGATTTTCTTGTGATTTATCCATATTTAGTGGAAAGAAGGAAGAATATCATTTAAAATAATGGCGGGTGTGATGTCATTCAAAGGCAATCTGTTTAATCAATCAATTTGGATTGACTATTGATCAAATGGCCGTCATCTGGTATGCTTGTTCACTAAATATTTAAAACTCGCCATAAAAATCATATTTCCTGTTGAATTTTCTATATAGAATTGTGTCATTGAAGTACATCATGAGTATACAGGGTGATCCACGGTG